CGCCGCGGACTTCGTCGCAACCCGGGAGCGTGGCATGACCTCCTGGGGTAATGGTGGTCTCCACGCGCGGAGTTAGAGTGTCGGGAGCGAGCTCCAGAGTCGCCACCTGCGGGGTCGCCGGGCAGCTGCAGTCCGAGGCGGACGGTGTTCGCGCGGCCATCTGGCCACCAGACACCCAGCACTTCTGGACACCGTGGCTCTGCTTGCTTTCTCCTTACAGTGCTATCTCCTCATGTCAGGAACAAAATATAATCCGTATTTCCCGAAGCCTTGCGATTTAAACTTGTGTTTCCCGTCAGTTTTTGGCGGTTGGTTGATTTTGGGAAATTGGCATTTCAGAGTTGGTACACAGAGTGAGATTATTGGTAATCTTTGATTACAGGTTTTCAGATGCATGTTATTCTAAATTTGCATGAAATGCAGCCACGTTTTAGTTTGTTCTTTCTATGGATGGCGGTCAGAATATGAGCAGTAAGAAAGGCTAGATGGCCAGCAGGTGGTGTGGTGGTTAAGGCACTGGGTCCCACATAGCCGACTCCCCCACTGAACTCCTGGTGAGTATGTGTGCCCTTAAAATCCCTAAAGGAGAATGGAGGAAATCAATCAAATTAAATAAATAATTGTTTTAAAAAAAAAAAAGAGGGACCAGCAGGTGGCATGGTGGCTAAGGTGCTGGACACTCCCACATGGCTGACGACTGGATGAGTCCCAGACCTGGTGGCTTGCTTTCTCACTTTTCCTCCCTCTCTCTCTCTCTGTGTCTCTGGTGAAATTAAAATGGATAAATCAATCAATCAAATTAAATAATTCTTTTAAAAAAAAATGGAGAAGGAAGTGTATGGCCATCCCCACCTCCCAGGATGTATTTTCTCCGTTTTGCTCTGTCTCCCTGTCTCCAGAGAGTGCACTTGCTGTATGGCAAGGAAAAAAACCTAAGGAGATAATAATAATAAAACTTGACAAGTGTATTATCTGTTGCTGTGTAAAAACCCAAAACTTGATGGCCTGAAACAATAATAAATACCTCACAGTTTCTAATGGTTAGGAATCCTGAAAGTATTTAGCTGCTCTAGTTTGGTCATAAGAGTTTACAATCAAGGTGTCAGCCTATCTGTTGTCATCTAAGACTTGACTGGGGCTAAAGGACCTACCTCCAAGGTGGCTTACTCATATGGATGTTGGCAGGAGGCCTCAGTTCTCCGTGTGGGCCTCTCCATGAAACTCCTTAGGTGTCCTCACATACCACATCTGACTACTCATAGAGCAAATGATTCAGGAGAGGACAAAGTGAAAGCTGCAATGCATCTATGACCCGGGTTCAGAATTCATATTGTCTTTCTACAGTAGTCTTTCAGTTCCACAAGTCAACCTTGTTCATTGTAAGAGGGGACTAGACATGGGCTGGCCATCATTGGAGGACCATCTTGTAGATGACCACTGCTGGAGGCAAAGATCAGAACACCTAGGGCATTGGTTTCCTATGTCTGCTGTAATGAATCACTAGACTTAAGGGCTTAAAATAACATACATTTATTCTTACCATTCTCTGGAAATAAATATGAAATAAGTTTAATTGGATCAGAATCAAGGTTTAAGTATGGATTCTCAGGGGAGAATCTTATTTCCTTGCCTTTTACAGCTGTGAGAGCTATACAAGGGGACTTCAAAAAGTCCCCTTTATGGAAAAATAGAATTAAAGTACAAATTTATTTTGATGCAAAAAATTTGTTAATCTATGTGTAGTTTTTTTATAATACACATTTTCTGTGAACTTTTGAAGACCATTTTGTAGATCTTGCATTTCTTGCCTCATGGCCTTTTGACCACCTTCAAAGCCAGCAGTATAGGGTTTTCAGTGGTCTTCTCTAATCAAATCTCCCTCTGCCTGCTTCTTATAAAGACATTTGTGAGTGTGTATTTAGGACCCAGCTGAATAATCCAGAATAATCTTCCTATCTTAAAATCCTAATAACATTCACAAAGTTCCTTTGCCATATATTATAATATTCACAGGTTCTAGAAATTTGAACCAGGATGTCCTTGGGGACCACTATTCAGCCTACATATCCAGGCTGAAAGAGGCCTTCCTGTATCCAAAGGTAAGGAGGAGACACTCGAGTGTTATTTTGTTTTGCTAGTGGGCACTTGCACTTGCCAAGGAAAGAGGGAGAAACAGGGCACTTGCACTTGCCAAGGAAGGAGTGAGAAAAAGAGAAAGCACCCCAATAGGATATATTCATGGCATAATCCCCTTTCCTCCATTTCTCCATCCCTTCAGGATCCTGGGCACTCAAACACACGTACTTCCTACGTGCTCCTCAAGCCACTGAGGCCAGAACTCCAACCACAGTCGACCATGTGGCATCTGGTTCCCAGTACACAGCTTTTAACCACTGTGCTAGGGGACTGGTGGGGCCAGTAGGTGGCGTGGTGGTTAAGGCAGCTGGACTTCCACATGGCTGACCATAGTTTGAGTCCCAGACCTGTTAGTTTGCTTTCTCACTTTCCTTCTCTCTCATTGTCACTCTCTGTTCAACTTCAAAAAATAAAACAATGACAATAAATAAAATTTAAAAAAAAGAGAGAGAGAGGATGGGCTAAGGCCCTGAGGGGTGTTGACTGATACTAAAGTAAAGTATCATGGTCAGCAGTGGATAAATGTGTGGAGGAGAGATATGGGAACACAGCTTCTCCCCTCCAGTCACCAGCAGTGCAGTGCAAGAGGGAAACTGCAGAGATTTGCACAAGTCCAGCAGGAAGGATCACAAGACAGCAAAGGATGGGTGCCCACTACAATTCCAAGAAGGTCAAGACAGGCATGAAGGACTTGTACAGTGTCATTAAGAGGTCTTGTGATTTAGACAGACCAGTACTCAATGGAACTGGTGTCTGGGCTATCACCAGTGACCCACACAGTGGGTGATAGCAGAGGATGGGCACAGGAGGCATAGGAAGCATGTTTTAGGATTGGCAGGCCTTCTGGAATGGAAGGTGAGGACATGGGATAGAAGCAGAGACCTCAGTTCTCAACCACAGGCTTCTGTATTTCTTGTCAGAGCCATATCCCACCTGTACTAAAATTTCCTTAATATCTATTAACATTTTCCTTAAAAGAGAACACCTTTTTAAGATGAGTTATTTGAGGGTTGGCAGGTGGCATGGTGGTAAAGGGCACTGTACTCCCACATGGCTGACTACAGTTTGAATCCCGGACATGGTGACTTGCTTTCTCACTTTCTCTCTCTCGCTCTCTCACTCTGTCCCTCTCTGGTCAAATAAGTAAATAAAGTTAAATTAAAAAGATTTCTTTAAAAAAAAAAAAGTTATTTGGAGGCCACCAGGTGGTGTGGTATTTAAGGTGCCAAACACCCACATGCTGACCACTGTTTGAGTCCTGAATCCTGGACCTGGCAGCATGGACATCATTCTGGGCACATATTTGTGCATGTGTGCCCAAATTCCTGAGAGAAGAATGGAGTAGAGAGATTGAGGCATGGCCATCTCCCCTGTGGGTTGATTTCTCACTTTACCTCTCACTGTCCCTGTCTCTCTTAGTGAATACATGTGCCCTGTGATAAAAACCTTAAAAAATTTTTTGAGTTATTTGTTATGTAGTTTGATTTGCATTTCCCAGTTGATTAATGATGTTGAGCACCTTTTCATGTGCTTATTTGCCATTTTAAAAAATATTTATTTATTACTATTGTTTTAATTTGCTATAGGATACATGTGCTCACCAGAGAGAGAGGGAAAGTGAGAAAACAAGCCACCAGTTATGACACTCAAACCAGGTCAACCATGTGGGACTCCAGTGCCTTACCCATCATGCCACCTGCTGGCCTCTTATTTGCCATTTTTATATCTTCTTTCAGATTATTTGCTCATCTTAATTGGGTTATTTTTTATTACTGAGTTTTGTAAGGGTTTCTTTTTTATATATGTTTCAGATACAACTCTCTTAGGAAATATGTGAGAGTTTTATCATTTTAGCACTTAATATTTACATCTTAAATACATTTGAGTTAATTTTTATGTGTGGTATGAGGAAGGGGGCTGATTTTATTCTTTTGCATGTGACCATTCAGTTGTCCTGTAGGAAGTGTTTTTCCACCATTTAATCATCTTCCCAACACCCAAGGGGTGATACTTTATCGACAAGGAAACAGAAGAGACAGAGGTAGATAGTGGCTTGGTGCCTTTTGAGGAGGAAATGGCTGAACTAAGAACTGTCTGACTTCCCAGAATGGCCACAGCCAGGCCATAGAAGGGTTTTGTTTATGGGACATGTTTTAAATATGTTGCATCAGCTTATAAAAATTGGGGTTTTTCCACCTAAAATTTTGACCTAATTTCCAGAGATTAGCAATTCAGACCAGATTGGGCTTTTATTTCCCATAATCAATCAATTCTGCATCTCTCCTTCCCCTTCAGACAAGGCATGTGCTCCCTATCACCTACAACCCCACCATGTGCAGGGTAAGTGTCCTTGTGGACTCATAAACTGACTCACTTCAGTCATTTGAGCCTTGGCCCTGAAGGCAGATATTTCTGACCCCAACTGTATAACCCTCTTATAGGATGATGGGTCTCACTTTGTATCTAAGAACTAGTGTGCATCTTAGTTAGCTGTTGCGGTATAATCCACTATCCCCAATCCTAGCATCTTAAAATAGTACTCATTACTTTAGCTCACAGATCTGCGTGATTTAGCACCCTTACCTGTCTGTGATCAGCTGTAGGTCAGCTGTAGTTGGTAGTGGTCTTGCCGGGTGCTCTCACACATGTTCACTGTACAACCCACACCTTGTACATAGTGGCCCAGTGAGACCTGACTTGCATTACTTATAATTATTCATTTTCTCCTTTCCTATTCTTACCTGAGAGCATTGGTGGGAACAGTCTGGCTGACCAACACTATGTCTGGTGTTTCAGGAACCAGTGACCTTTCGGGATGTGGCTGTGGACTTCACCCAGGAGGAGTGGGGGCAGCTGGACCCTATCCAGAGGACTTTGTACCGTGATGTGATGCTGGAAACTTTTGGGCATCTGCTTTCCGTGGGTAAGCTCTGCTGAGCTATGGTGACTGATTCCTCTTGTGTTATAGGTCCTCTGGTGTGAGGACCTCATCCTGGATCCTCATTCCCTATGGGACACATGTGTAAGGGGGTATGTGCCCTTTGCTCTCCAGGTTCAAAGACTTCACCTTCTTAGACCTGGTGGCTTGCTTTCTCACTTTCCCTCTCTCTCTGTGTGTGTCTCTCTCCAGTCAAATTAAAAATAAATGAATGAATAAATAAAATAGAATAAGTAATTTTTTTTTTACTTTATTTAAATACTGAGTTTATTTCACATGTATATTTTTGTCTCCCCACCATTTTCATGTCTGACCACCACTACTACTGTGTCCTATCATAACATTCCATACATACTTAAAACCAAGCAAAGGGTGGAGTTCCATCTTTAAAAACTAAACAGGCATTTTGGACAACACATTCTTGGCAATAGAAACTGGACCACATTTATCAAATACAGTAGGGA